TGATACGGAAATCAAAACAAAACAAACAAAGTTTTACAAAAGTTTACCATAAAAAGTATTGAGAAAATCTACAACTTTTTAGAATGTCACGAAACCCAGGAATGAATGAATGAATGTAAAAATGCTAATTTTCATTCATCTGAAAAAAACCACCATCACTATGAACAAAAAAAAAGTTTTGATCAGGTTTCCTCCCATTCTAGATTCAATGACATTCATTTTTTTCTTGGTTTCTTTCTCTATTCAATTTATTTTCCCTGCACCAAAAGATTTAATTGAAAGTCTTTTGATGATGATGATGATGATGTTGGTGGTAAACCACTATACAAAATGTACACACACACACAAAAGATTCCTTAATTCTTATTCATTTGGAATTTTTTTTTCTCCCTTTCTCTTTTCTGATCAAAATCTATTTTTTTCTTCTTCATTTTAGTGATTAGGTTTTTTTGGTTTGGTTTGGTTTGCTTCAATTCATTCGTTATTTGTATTTGTATTTGATTCAGTCAATTTTTTTTCTAGATAAAGAAAATTTACCCTTTTTTTATTATTGGGTTTTTTTCTATCCAATTCGATTGATTAATTCTTTCGTTTTGTTTTCTCATTTCTATCAATCGAATTCAGAAATTGAACTGAAAAAAAACAACAAAAACAATGATGACAACAAAAAAAAGAGTATAAGATGAAGATAGTAAGATAGTAAGATGTCTATCGATAGTAAGATGTTTTCCGTAAATGTAGAAAATAAAAGTATAAAGTAGATATTTCTCTATCAAAAACAGATGTAAGATTTTTTTCCCCTTTCACAGTCAGTAACGAAAATTCCTTTTTCAAATTTTCTTTTCTTTTTGAATTTGTTTTTCGACACATCCACCCTCCCCAAAAAGTGTATCAATCTCAACATACACACACTAATCTAGTCTTGAAATTTTGTTGTTTTTTTTTGAATTGATAGAAAAAAAATTCAAAGTTCAGCTAAAAATGGATCATTTCTTTGCGTGGAAGAAATATTCCCATCTCGATTTGAATTTTCATCGGATTTTCTTGTTTACGATTCGATCGATCAATTTGTTTTCATATATACAAAACCAAATCGAAAAAATGAAAAACTTTAAATTGTTTCGCGAAAACAGAAAACAGAAAAAAAACCAATATTTAATCGAATGGAAACAAAAAATGTGTCAAACAATGAAAAAAAGGGATAAAAGAGATATAGAAAACTTTGTTAAAGATGATGCTGATTCAGCTTTTGAATGTCTTAGGAATAAAAATTTTTTATTCTGTGGGAGTGAGAGGAAAGAATGGATAAAATTTGCCTATTTCTTCGATATTCATCGACATTCAAATCAAATCAAATCAAATTATCGATGATTTTGAAAACAAAAAATCTATGCCAAAAACAATCTTTTTTCTCTCTCAATCGTTTCTTTGGTACGTGATTTTAACAAATTTTTTTCATCAGCAAATTCATCATCAGTAAATTCAATTATTTTATTTCATTTTTTCTCTTGGTTTGAACGAAAATGAATTTACAGAATTCAAAAATTTTTGGTTATCATTTTTTCATTTCACGTTTTTATTTTGCCCACATTATCAATCGAAATTGAAAAATAAAATCATCAACTGAAGCAAAACAAAACAAAAAGAAAAGATTTTTTTTTTTTTTTTGATATAATTTTTTTCTTTGGCATGTTTATACCTCATCATCATGAAGATGATGATGATGATGAAAAACAGAATTGAAGAATTTCATTTTCTATATGTTTGTTTTCTTTATTATTCAAGTGTTGCCTNTTTTTTCATCAGCAAATTCATCATCAGTAAATTCAATTATCTTATTTTATTTTTCTTGGTTAAAAAAAATTTCAGAATTCAAAAATTTTTGGTTATCATTTTTTCATTTCACGTTTTTATTTTGCCCACATTATCAATCGAAATTGAAAAATAAAATCATCAACTGAAGCAAAAAAAAACAAAAAGAAAAGATTTTTTTTTTTTTTTTTTGATATAATTTTCTTCTTTGGCATGTTTATACCTCATCATCATGAAGATGATGATGATGATGAAAAACAGAATTGAAGAATTTCATTTTCTATATGTTTGTTTTCTTTATTATTCAAGTGTTGCCTGATTCTCGATTGATCGAAAAACTCTCTCGAAAGAAAGTTATTCCTTGTTGATGTTTTGAAGTAAAGGAAACTTTTCGCTTTTCTCTCTCTCTCTCTCTGTATTCAAGTCAAAACCATAGGGAATTTGTTGTTGTTGTTGTTGTTGTTGAAACGGGACTTATATATGTCGTTTTTGTTATCATTTTTTTTCCTTTCTTTTGATGACAATTTCAAAGTTGATCTTTGGAATTCTTCCAATATATATTGCCCTACTTTTTTTTTGTTTTGTTTCTCCTCACTTTTTATTGATGAATAAACATCTGTATCCTGTCATGAGAATTTTCAAATTTTTTTTTCTATTCACCCTTTTTTTTTGTATAAACATTTTCAAGATTTATGATGATCATCATCATTTTCATAAATGGAGATAACAATAAGTTTTCTTCTTTTCTCTTTTCCTTAATATATTCATCTTTATCTATCTTTAAATGACATGCACTTTTTTTTGTATATTGATGATCTTTCAATCGATCGATCGATCGATCGATCTGATCATTCTTATTCATATTCATCATCATTGATTCATTTATTCAAGATGAATTTGTCGCATGAAAATATTCTTCTTTTTTGTGTGTGTGTCTGGTAGTTCTTCTTTTCATCCACTTATGAAAACGTAAAAGAATCGAAATTAATTAAATTCAAATTACCAAAAGAGAATTTTCTGTTTTTCCAAGGAATTCTGTTTGTTTTCTCATTGTTTGAAAAAAATGCAAATCTTCTTTTATCGATTCTAGATTGATTGATTGATTGATTTTTTTCCTTTGATAATATTTACACAACACATCAGAATATATTAATTAATTTTCTTCTTCTTCTTATTACTTATCTGTTTTTTCTCAGGATTTTCAATAATTTTCTTATGAATCCGTACATGTTTTTTTTTGTTGTGTAATAAGCAATAAGGCAAACTTGAATATACATGCATTGCATGTTCAAGTAGAATTTGTCATCTTTTTCACTCCGTATTCATTTTTCTTTTGAAAATAAATCAATTTTATAACCCGATGCTACCCTTAAAACATATCTGAACACACATGTTCTGTGATTCAATACAATCATGATTAGGTTTTATCGAAAAAAAAACGAAAACATAGAAGAAATTTGAAATTCATAAGTTATGTTTGTTTGTTTTTTTTTCACTGTTTCGTCTAAATAATTTATTCATATTTTGTCAAATGAGAATTCATTCATTCATTTTGTTATTTCAATTCAAAAACTATTCCAAGATTCAGGCAAATTACTATGAAAAATTTTTATTTGCCAAACAACAGCAACAACAAAAAAAAACCAGATGTGAATCCTTTTAAACATGATTTCCAAATGATGTTATTATTACTCTCTCTTGTTCTCTAATGTCGTTGGCATTATGTGAATCCTGAAATCAGTATTTTTTCTATTTTAGTGTTATTCTGACGATTCCCTGTATACATATCTAATCTTCAGGGCATATTTTGGAACGGGGCGAAAAAAAACGAATCTCTGTTCCAAACAACTGATCATTATTTAATCGTTTGTTTTATCTATTTTGTTGTTGTTGTTGTTGTTGTTTGAATTTCATTGTCATTTGATGATCATAATCAATTCAATTTTTTTCTTCGTTCACAATAACGATAACATCATCATCATGAATTATCCACAGTGTTTGTTTTGTTTGTTTCCGAAATAGCTGAAAATATTTACTTATGAAAAACAAGAAAGCAAATGAAACAATATTTTCAACAAATTTTATTCTGCGTAACCAACAGAATATATTTTTGGCTGTTGAAACCATTCATTTGGATGTTTTGTTTATTTTGTTTGTTTGTTTGTTTGTTTGTTTGTTTGTTTGCTGAATTCATTTGACTAGATAGTTTTAACAACTAATCTTTTTTTTTCGTGAATTTCACTCTTCACAAAAATATTCATCGATATTCTTTTCTCTTTCGAGAATTTTACAAATTTGTGGACATTCCCTTATGACCTTCTTTCGAAAAAAAATAATAATCAACAAATTTTGTTTCTGAAACTTTTTTTTCTCGTTTAAAGTTTTCGTTTTGAAGATAAATTATCCAAATGGAAACCAAATTATATTCCGGCAAATTCATATTTTTCAATTTTTTAATACGAAAACTTGAAAAAAAAGTTTTGCTTTTTCGTTGTTGTTGTTGTTTTGTTCATACTAAATGAAAATTTTGTTTTTACAAGAATTTTTCATGATTATATCTCACTCTCTTTTACTTTCTCTCTCTCTTACGGTGTATTATTCATATCATTGTTTACCCAGAAGAGAAATTTCTCATACTAATTCTATGTTTTTGTTGTCATTCATTCATTCATTCATTGAATTCTAGGAAAAGAGTGCATCATATATATATATAGAGAGAAGAAATGGAAAAACAAATAAAATTTGAAATCCAATGGGATTTTTCATCAAATTACATTACCCTTAGGCCGCTTTATTGTTGTTGTTGATGATGTTAGCAGAATCGATGCTATTTGTATACCCTTCCTCCCAAATCATTCATTATCAATTATCATCATTGACTATTTGTAATTTGATGATAATTTTCTTTTTTGTTGATTATAAGATTTCGTTTATCTCTCTCTCTCTCTCAAATCTTAATGGATGCTAAGTGTTTGTGAATACGTGTGACAGAATAAAGACAAAACATCTTTAATTGAAAAGTAAAAAAATAAATGTAATATGTCGTCGTCAACAGTCACACAAATAAACAATAGTTTTGGATTTTGTTTTTTTTTGACATTTTATATTCAATGTTTATTCTCTATGTATGTGTGTTTATAAATAATATAAATTTGTATTGATAGTGTGTGTTTGTTCGTTTTTTTTCGTTTTTGCCGAATTAAGTCTTCGATTCACAATTTATTACCTGTATAATACGTAAACGATCACGATCAATAAATAAAACAGCCGCACGATTTGTTAATTCAGAATAATTTGAACTAGAAAATATGGTCATTGTTTTACCACGATGATCAAAATGAAAACCTTCATGATAAACTTCATGTGCACGTATTATTGAATCAATTTGATTACGTTGACAAAATCTATCAACTGCCCATTCAGTATATTGAAATGCTGTACCACGACGTGTATTCTGTACAAAACTACGTTCCAATGAATCTTTTTCAAATTCAACAATTCTTGCCAATTCATTACCGGATACTGGATCATTCCATCTATAGAAGAGAAAAAAACAAACAAAACAAAATAAATAAGTATAATTTGTAAGTATTTTATTCTTATTCATTTATCTTCTTCTTTTACTATTCTCAAAAAAAGTTTATAAATTCAATTTATATTTCTCTTTTAGGTCTATAATCTGTCTTAATACTACACCACAAGTGGGCGTCATTGTTTGTATACACTATTGGTTGTTTGTGTTTTCATTTTTGCTTTTTCAAACTAAACTAAAAAGAAAAAAAATTTGAAAAATAAACTTACAATATTTCCCATGTTTCAAATGATGAATATAATGGATTCTCTATACGTTTTGGTACTGAACGAATTTGTTCCAATGTTGTTATTGTAATCGGTATACCACCATGTGCACAGAATAAACGACTATCAATTATAGCCGTAATTGGTAAACGATCCATTGCTTTATTGATTGAATCCCATAATTCTAGTTCAAATCTTGTACAACATTCACCATAAAATGAAAATTGTTGTTGTATATCACGAATTTCATGATTACCTCGTAATATAAGAAAATTATGTGGTGCAAGAATTTTCATACAAAATAAATAAATAATACATTCAACACCATATTGTCCACGATCAACATAATCACCAAGAAATAGATAACAACTTTGATTGATGAATGGTGTTGATTTCCATAATATTTGTGAATATAATAATAAATCTTTTAAATTTCCATGTATATCGCCTAATACATAGCATGGTGATGAAATCTAAAACAATTTTTGAAAAATGAAATTAAAAAAAAAAAAAAATTCCAAATGAAATGAATTATTCTCGATGTGTTCAAACGACGTATATTGAATACAATACATACATTCACTAATCTTGGTTCGGTTGAAAAAATTTCTTCTACTTTTTCACAAATCATTTTCAAATTATTAATCATTTCAATTTTTTCATTATAAAACCAATTATCCAATAATGTTAATTGTTCAACATTAACAATTTCATTATCATTAGATGAATCAAATAAAAATGAACCAACTTTTGTCAAACGATTAACAATATCATTAGCTAATACATGTATTTCAGTTTCTTGCATATCCTGGCGAAATTGTTTAACAACATTCATTGCTGTTGTTCCACCAACACCATTTATTGTTGATGGACTAATATTTTCAATATCTAATCGATTTACTTCGGTTACTTCACCAACATCGGATAATGTATGAAAATAAGTTGATAAATAATATTTTGTTCGTTTACATGGATAACATCGTAATGTTGATTGTGTTGATGATCGTAATGCAATCCATTGTGCTGTTGATTTTAATGGACGCCATAATGGTAATATTAGATCATCAATTTCAATATTTAAACGTATTATTTTATCAAAATATTCATCAACATTTATATTGTCTAGACCAAGTAATCGAAATAATTGTCCTGTTTGAATATGATTATTGAATTGTTTGAATGTTAATTCCATTGGAATTTCTGTCTGTGAACGAAATCTTTCTTCCAATTGTTGTCGTATTTTTGTTTCATAATCATTATTTTGTTCATTAAATTCATTAAGTCTTGAATGAAATCTTGTTGATGATCCTGTTTTAATTTTTTTTCTATAATCGATAATCATTTTATATAAATCATTTAGATTAATTTTAGTTGATGATGTTGAATAAAAATTAAATAATAAACGATATTTTAGTCTTCGACATGGACAACATTCTTTTGATTGATTTGATGATGATGATGTTGTTGTTGTTGTTGTTGTGTTCATTGTTGATGGTACTGTTTTCGTTGTTGATGGTGATATTGTTGATGGTGATATTGTTGATGGTGTTGTTGTTGTTGTCGTCGTTGGTGATGTGGATGTTGATGTTGATGGACAACATGCAAATGGTCTTCCAACAATCAATAATCCAAGCAATAGATTATTAAAATTTAGATATGATAATTTTTGTCGATCAAATGATCGAAAATATTGTACAACTTTATCATTGGATAATGCTGGTGGTGATAAAATTTTTTCCATAAACAATTTAAACGACCAAATTGTCATATAACGTGATGGATAACATTGTAAAACAAATTCATTATATAATGATATTATCTCTACACGATTTCCACTAATTAATTTCAAAGATATTTTACCATTATCACATATATTTCCTAAATAATTTATTTTTTCTATTATTGGTCGTTGATGATGTTGACATCTTATCAATTTAATTGTCAATTGTTTGATTATTGGTCCAAATTTTATTTGTTCATTTTGTTGATTATTTAAATTCAATTGAATATTGGCTTTATTCGTTTCATTTGTTATTGTTGTTGATGGTTTTTCATCATTACCATTTTGATCATATTCATCATCATCATTGAATAATCTAAACTCATTCCAACCTAATGAATAATATTTGGATGGATCATCATCATCATTATCATTATCATTATCAATATCTAAATCTGAATCTAAATTCGAATCCAAACGATTATTGATTGAATTTTCTTTATTACTATTTTCAATTTTTTTTGAATTTTTTTCATCAACACTTGATGATGATGATGATGTTGATAAAGATTTTCGTCGTTTTTTTAATAAACCAAATTGCTGTTCAAGTATATATTTAGGTTCTGGACCTAATAGATTATTATTATTGGCAGTTGTTGTTGTAACATTATTTGATGATGGTGTATTCATTGAATCTAATAATGTTATTGTTGATGTTAATTTATTACAAATATCATCATATGATAACCAATGTATTAATGTTCGTTGTACCATTTGACAAATACATTTTCGTTGTTCATTTTTTTGTCCATTTTTTTTATTCACTGACTTTTCAGCACCAATTGACGAATTAGTTTTTTTTGTTTTTGTTGATGGTGATATTGATGACATTTTCTTTTTTTGATCACACGAAACTTTGGTTTTTCCTTTTGTTGTTGAATTTTTACCACCAGCAGTCGAAGTAGCCGTTGAAAGACTAACATCAATACGATAAATAAAACGAAATAGAAAATTTCTTAATGGTATCTGTATTCTTTCAGTTATCAATTGAAAATTACGAAATTTAGCTGTTGTTTTTTTTTGTGTGTTTGTGTGTGAAAAGAAAATCATGATTTCATAATCAAATTAATATTGTTAAAGTATTAATTTGTTGGAAAAAAAAAATTCTTACCATGAACATCACCAAATACACGATTAAGCATTTCACGTACAATTGAATTTATTGAATAATTTGACATTCGACATGATAATGATGGAAAAAATAATCCTTTTTGTGGTATATCAAGTAAACCAATACGTTGATGTTCAGGACAAATCAATGCAATACAACAAATATCATCAAGATTTGTATATTTATCTGATGGACGTTTCCATTTAAATAATGATTGAAACGATATTGGTGGTGGTGAATATTGTCTTGGTTTTGTTGGCGATGCTGGTGGTGATTTAAATCGATTCGATATTGATTCTCTTAATCGTAGATATGGTGTACTACGAATATAACCTGGTGATGGAATTTGTAATTTTTTTTTCGATCCACTATCGCTTTCGCTTTTGCTTTTTTCCATTTTTTTTAAATATGATTAGCTTGGGAAAACAAATTACTTATGCACCCAAATTCTTTTTCATTCAGAAAATTTAATACAAATTTTTTTGATTTTATTCAATATTGAAAAAATTGTTTTAAAATTTAATTAAAATTTTTTTTTTTTATTATTCGAATTAAAAATAAAAGGCAACAAATTAGAAAATAATTACATTAAGTAAATTTTGTTTTTTTGTTTTGTTTGAAATGCTAAGATTTTACAATTGAAACAATGGGCATTGTTTTTCCAATTGATAAAGATGGTGGTGGTGGTGGCGGTGGTGGTATTCGATTTATTGTTGATTTAATTATAATACGATCGGGTACAATTAAACTTGATTGTCGTCTTGGTTGTTTTTCATGATAATTACGATTTATTGAATTATTTCGTAATCGTTGACTTTGTCGCTGTTGTTGTTGTTGTTGTCGTCTTTGACGTACAAGACAAAAACGTTCACGTAACCACATTATGAATAAAAACAATATAAACAAAATGATTGTCGTTGTAAAGAAACCCAATATATACATTATACCAAGAAATAATTCCGAATAATCGGTATTTTCAATTGCGGCTATTTTAAACAAAATAAACAGATAACAAAACAAGAAAAAAAAATCAAACGATTGAATTTTATTGATGCTTAATATTTATCAAAAAACAGCAAAAAAAAAGATTAAATGAAATTATTTATCGATAAAATTATACAATTGGATCGGATGAAAAAGGAACTACTTTTGCCAAATCGACCGGTCGTACCCATATTTTATCTGGAAATGTTTTTTTTTGTTGATCCGGTCTAATGAAACGATCGATCGGATTGAATTTGACACAATGAAGCAAAATCTGTTCAGGTTTTTATTTTCCACGATGATTCTCAATTCACAAATAACTAAATTGAAAAATTTGTTTTTACAGGATGCACAACGTTTACACTTTTTTTTCTATGGATTCTGAATCACCGATTGAAAGTGTGGATATCATCATCATCATCATCATAAGGAATCAAAGCAACAAAACAAAAGAAGAAAACTTGTAGAACTTGTATGGAAGAATCAAACTGACCGAATGATATTTATTTGTTAAATAAATTCTCATAATTTCTTCTTCTTCTTATTCTCGATTTCTGGATCTTTTGTTTTTTCTTTTGTTTTGTGCACCACTTGGAATGTTGTGTATATAAACGTGACTTTAGTTTCGATAATAATCATCATCATCATGAAGCCAAATGAAAAAACGCAACAGCAAAAGAAAAAATATATTTCACATTTTTTTTTATCCGCACAAAAAAATGAAGAAAAATGATGTTATTGGAATGGAATTTAGTTCATAAATGTTTTGTCGGTAAATTTTTTCTTTATCTTCAAATGAAATAATAATAATAATAATAATTCTATAATTCTGTTCGTTTGTTTGGTTTTATTTGACATGACTATTCTTAATTCTTAATGTTTATCGTTTTTTCCTTTTTTCGATTCTGTTCGGTTTTTGTTTAATATTATCAATTTCAATTGGCTGATCATTGGCTGAACAAAAAAAAAATTGTTGTTTGTTTGTTTGTTTGCTGTTTAAATCGATAACCTATTGGGCTTATTGCGTTGTTGTTTTTCTCTAGAATATAATTAGATGGATCAAAAATATTATGATCATAGATATTACATATATATGGTTCATTTGATTCTGATTTTTATTGTTACTGGATAATGAAATTTTCATTGGAAATCATAATTTGTTCCTAATAGAAAAACAAAAAAATTTATTATCATGAACATGCCAGGAGGTTAAATATGCTATTATTTTCTCAATATTGATTCTATTCTATTTCAGTGGAAATTATTCTGACATTATTGTAGGAAGTAATATTTATTTATTCGAATCAAATTCATTAAGGAACTCATTAGTTTCATCCCAAATTAGATTATTTGTTGATTTAGTACCTGTTTACTATATAATCGTTTGAAGAAAAAAAAATTAATTTAAGCAATAATTTCATAATGACTATTAAGTATTTTATTCAAAACAAATGACAATGATAATGAGAAAACATTACAATGCGATATGGAAGCAAATAAATCAATGTTATTTACAATTGGCTTTGTCAAGGTGTCAAGAACATGTATTTACACAAACGAAGAGAAACCTGGTAGCGGTGCCCTACTGCCTGCCATGTTATTTACGATGATCCTTCCTCCGTTCAATGCATTGTTGCTGCTGTTGGAATTATTTGTATTGTTGTTGTTACCAACATTTGATTGTGGTTGATTTGACGATACGGTGTTGTCCACTTCGTTGTCTCCGTTCAATGCAGAAAGATAACTGGGTGGAGCTGGAGCTGGAGGCGGCGGACGATTTGGGAAGCCGATCCTATTGATAGATGATTGCGATGCTGATGAACCTGTCGTAAATTTGGACAATGATGATTGCGGCTGTTGATTTGATGTTATGTTGTAATTGGAACCATGATGTGATGAAGTCGATGGTGCCAAAGGAGATGATGGCGGTGGCGTAGGAACTTTGGAAACTGTTGTCGATTGTATCATCGGTGGCAATGGAGGCGGTGGAGGATAAGGAAGTTGTTTGTAAGCCGAACGACTGGATGTGGCTGCTGAAGTTGGATTTGGCGGAGGAGGATGTGAAGGAGGTGCTCGAATTGACGTACTGGTAGCGTAGATGTTTTGATGACTACTGGTCGGTACGATGTAAGGTTTGGCTTGTTTTTTCCACGAAAGACCTTTGCGAAGCGTATCATTTACATTTGCATAATGGTTGACAAACATGTTGGCTGCAACTAACTCGTCATGATCGTCTGAGTCCTCGGAATCGGGCCCTGTTGAGCTTAATTCACTTGGCTTCTCGGTCAAGGAATCATTGCCGCTGCTCAGTTCATAAAGACCAGGTGGAGGTTTTACGTCTGAATCATCCACATCAAGGTCATCGTCATCGTCTAAATCATCTTCATCCGAGTAAGAAAACGAGCCAGGACATGGTCGTGGTGGCTGTCGGGCCTGTGCCGAAATAGCGGCAGTATTAAGCATGTTGTTGGCTTTATTGTCCTTGCTTTTTCCACGATTAGATCGAAGCGTAGATCGATTACGATCATTGCGATTTGAGGTGCCAGCCACAGCAACGGGAACGAGTGTGTCGTTGTTAATTGTCATATTTGGCATGATGAGTCCAACAGTTGAACCGCCATTAATCATGCCACGCATTTCCATCTCAAGCGATTGTCCAGCCATCTGACTAAGTGGGTTATCGAATTGCTCGTCAAGGCCGAAGCCAAGTTCACTTAGACGATCTTGACTGCCTGTATTTTGCATTGCTTCTTTTTTGTATTTGTATGTCTTGTTACGTACACAAAGGGCTGCGATTACCATGATAGTTATGATGACACTGAGACAGGCACAAAGAATGACGAACCAAGTTTCTCGATAGTATGGCATTCTGGCTCGTAATTCTAGATGCGAAGGCGTCATTATAATGGATTGGCCACCGTACAACTTGTTTGGATAAGCTGGTTCAGAAACACCAATGCGATTGAACGACATTACTCTGAATTGATACTGGGAAGATGGTGACAATTGTGTAAAGCTTAATTCGTATCGATCTTGGCGTCCATTGCGCAATGTGACAATCGGTTGCCACTCGAGAGCTGACTTTTTATTTAGATTGTTAGCTTCAATCAAATAACCAAGAATCGGTTCTCGGTAATCTGGATTTTTCCATTTGAGTTTGACTGATGTTAGCGTTTGTTGTGCTATAACTTCGAATGGAGGTGGTGGACTACCGTGTTGAGGACCAGTGGTCACTAATAAATAAAAAAATTAGATAATGAACAATTAAGAATCTAATTAATTACCATTGCCGATGCGTTCAGGTCCAAGACCAACACTGTTCTCAGCCCTAACTTTAAATGTATAAGTGACTCGTTCACGCAGAGCACTGACCACTAGATAAGAATCATTAATTTTTTGTTTGACTTGTTTGCTGAAATCGCCAATCAACGTTTCGTATGTGATGTAATAGCCAAGTAGTAAACCATTTGGCTCGGCTGGTGGACGCCATGTTACTTTTACTTGTGACATGGTTATCTCATCAAACTCAATAGGACCAAGTTCACCCGGTAAATCTTCGAGCGTTTGCACGATCGTTGGTTTGGATCGAGGCCCATCACCAGCTGGATTGAATGCAGAGATCTGAATTGAATAGTTGGTCCACTTGTACAGATCGAGTAGAATAAATGAGGCAAGTGTATCAGGAACAATCTCCATCATTTCTCGTGGCAATGATTTTGAATGTTGATCTTTCACCAAGTTCGATTTGTTAAGCGAATTAACCCAGTAGAAAATCTTATAGCCCATAATTTGGCCATTCTGTTTTGATTGATCAGGCGGCTGCCATGTAACTTTGATTTCGGTCGAACTAAGTGGTTCGGCACGAATTTCCAATGGTTCACCAGTAGGCACAGCTAACGAAAAAGTAATGGCCTTAATGATATAATTCAAAATATGTTTTCGAACACTTACCTTCACCGACGTAAACAACCTTGGGTTTAGTGGAAGGGCCATCACCCTGTCCATTAAAAGCAATAACACGTATTTCGTAATGCTGATCTTTTTCGAGATTATCTATAGTAGCTTGAGTACGATTTTTACCGCGAACTAACGTTGATGGACATGATCCGGCCACTCCTTGTTGAGTTAATAAACAATACTGAACACGATAACCAGCTCCCATTTCATCGCCATTCCAATCATTTACGGGCATCCATCTGACTGATATTGATGTCGGTGTGAACGGCGACACGGTAACAGATTCGGGCATCGTGTCTGGAGGAGCTGGTAATGTTCGAGTGATAGGCGATTCTGAAGACCAACCGGAATCACCAATATCGTTGGTGGCTTTCAAACGAAATTGATATGTTGTGAATGGTCGAAGTTTGGTCAATGTGTACGATCGAATTGTCGGGTCTATTTTGTGTGGATAGGTCCACCAATGACCACCTTGGCTTGAGATTTGTACAGTATAGTATCGAAGTGGTGCATAGCCATCGCGACCAGGCGTCCAACTAATAGTTACTTGACGAGAACTGATCTGTGATACACTGATCAGCGGCTGTGATGGTGGTGATGGAAGTTCACGTGTGTTGGTCGTATAAACCAGTGCTTTGGCTGCTTGACCCCAGCCTTCAACCGTTTTGGCTGTTACCTCAAATTTGTAGTAGGTTTCAGGACTAAGATCTAAAAATCGATAAGTTCGGTCGGTGGATTGAAATTCGCGAGTAATAGGTATTTGCTGATAATACTGATCATCGCTAAGACGATATGTAACTTTATAGGCAAGAATCTCACCGTTAGGCTCTTCTGGTATGTCCCATTTGATACGAGCCGTGGTAAGAGTCACATCAGGAAAAGTAACATTGGACGGAGGTCCCGGAACATCCTGGAATGTTTCAGCTGTGACTGGAGTTGAATAAACGCCATCGCCGACGTGAGTAAAAGCACACACACTGATCTGATAACGGGTGTATTTTTTCAATTCGGTCAGTGTGGCCGTTCGAGATGAATTGCTTTCAATCAATTTAAATTGAGCATCATTACCATTTTTCAGAATTGCATATCGGACTTTGAACCCTTGGATAATACCGTTACGGTCGGACTCGCCAACATCATTCCAATCGACTACAATGGTTGTCGATGAAGTAGATCGCACTTGAACAGAATTAGGACCCGAGCTTGGCGTTGCTTCGTTGGTACGTTGTATGTGATAGTGACTGCCATGCGATGTACCAAGATCGTTGAGTGCAAACACCTGAATGCCATAATTGGTATATGCGTTCAACGAGGTGATGAGGTAGGAATGTGAATGATAATCAGATAGAATGTGCCAATGCAATGGTTCATCGATTATTGGCGATCCATCGTTAGTCAGTTGACGCCAAGTGATGTTGTAACCACGGGGATGACCATGCCATGATTCAGGTGGCAGTGGCGTCCATCGAACTCGCAATGCGGTAGCTGATACTGTACGTACGGTAACGTTGGAAGGTGGACCCTGTGGTAATGCCTGCAACGTTTGGAAAGGAGGCGAAGGAGCTGATGGTTTAAGAGCTGGACCAACTACATTTACAGGAATAAGACGAAGTCGATATTCGGTGTACGGACGAAGATTGTGAACGGTAATGGCATCATCCTGTGTGTGATTGATAGATTCATAGATAACTGACCAGTTTTCGGCATTGCGCAATTTATAAAGTTGGCCTTCGACGATCCATTTAGCGATGGATGCGTTGCCATTGAAGCCAGGCGTGAATTGCAAGACAACAGAAAAAGGCTGTATGTTTGAAATCGCTAGATGAGTGGGTGCAACAGGAAGAACCGGTGGAACCGAGCTCTGAATTGTCGAACTAATGATAGGTCCGGCTCCAACTTCGGTCCATGCATTTATCTCGAATGTATAGGCTGTTTGAGGTGTTAAGTTTGTAATGACAGTTTGATTTTCGGTGGCAGTCAGATTTCTGACAACAGCAGTGCTTCGTTCATGGCCGACAGAATAGTAACGTAGTGTATAACCTGTCAATTTGCCATTAACTTTTTTGGGTCGAGACCATATAACGCGTACGCTTTTGTCAAGAATATCACGGAATTTGAGATAGGCTACTTCTTGAGGTAAATCTTGTTCGGTGGTTACAATCGGAGGTGGTTCAAAGCGTGGTCCATCACCAGCACTAGTAAAACAAAGTACAGACACATCATATGTTGTGTATGGTTCCAGTCCATCCATGATGGCCAACTGTTGTCCATCCTGATAAAATGGTGATGGCGGAACTGTAATTTCACGAGCCGGTTGTTCGGAAACAAGTCCGACAATAGTATAGGAATGTGTATTTGATTCTGGAGGTGAAGCCAGCAATCGATCATCTTCAGTTGGATCGGTTGTAGTGGTCGTAAAATTCTTCGAAATCCAAGCTTGAACCTTATAGCCTTGGTTAATACCATTGATAAGCTGTGGATCAGGTGGTGACCATTGAACACGTATAGAAGTAGAATTAATAGCTTCGGCATGTAATGCTCTAACTTGGGCGGCCGGTCGACCTTCTTTTGTCCGAACATAAATGCTGGGACTATAAAGGCCAATTCCCATTTCGTTGTATGCAGCCACCTGAATTTGATAATTCTGCCATACGATCAAATCTTCAAGCAGACAGGACATTTGAGCTGCATTAGTCACATTATATGTGTACCAAGGCGTATGTTCGGCGTAACCAGCAAGTTTATAGCGGACAATGTATCCCAACAAATGGCCATTGTGTGATTCAGGTGGTGGCTGCTGCCATTGAATTGTAATAGCTGTCGATGATCGTGGAGCGCCTACCACACCAATTGGACTGGCATTTGGAGGCTGTGCAGGTAATGTAATCGGTGGATTTGTCGGAGAACTGGGCTGACCTTCACCAACTGAATTGAGAGCCGATACACGGAACTGATATGTGGTGGCCGGACGAAGATTAGTGATGAGCACAAAATTCTGTGTTGATGAGATGTTCATTGAAGCTGTTGTCCATGTGTTAACACCGTAAACTAATTCGTCGTCGGTTGATGGCTGCTGTGCAGTTGTTCCTGTGATCGTGCTCGAATCTGTTTCTGCATGGCTTATAGGATTGCTAGCGATTGTTCGCATCTGAACCACATACTTGGTGATGGGTGAATTACCATCAAACGGAGGCGTCCACGATACGTTTACAAGACCACCATTGACATTAAGTGTGGCAACAACATTGGTTGGAGGGTGTGGCAATTCAATGACATCGAGTCTTGCAGAACGTTTGTCATTACCACCATCTGATTCAACACGACATGTGTAAAGACCAACGTCAGTATTTCGTACCTGTTTATAAAAAAAAAATTAATAAAATCAGACATTGATAAAAATGTTGCGTACCTGTTCAATGCGCAAGGTGTTGTCGGCAGCTATTTTGATTCTAGATGAGGTAAGAGCTGTAAGGTTGCGTTTCTGAAATGTCCAGTATACTTTAACCGGAATAGTCGGATCGTGACGAACACGACATTGAAGTTCAGCAGTCGAACTAAGAATTACTTTACTGTCAACAGGCGGCTGATCAATCTGTGTACGCAAAATGACGGCCAAACGTGTAGTACCGTTGATTACACCCAAATTATTACGTCTTACACAAGTGTACATGCCTTCATCCGATTTTTCTACCTGAGTGATAATCAAAGCTCCATGGGCATTACTATCGTATTTTCGTTTCGAATCTAGATCAAGACGACGTTTTGGTTGGCCAGTTTTTTGATACCACCATTCGACGGTGGGAAATGGAGATCCAGTAGCTTCGCATTGGATTTCTGCATCACGTCCATCCTGTATGGTCAACATTTCGGGTGGTCCACCGTTTGTGAATGTAGGTGGTGTATGTTGTTGTATAGAAGTTGGTACCGAATGTGAATAGGTTCGTGCAGGATAGTCCTCATGATCTGTAATATGGCCTGGAGCAAGTGGCATCGTAGTAAAAGTGGCAACTGTCGGTTCACTCCACCGATCCATACTTTGCGTTTGAACAGAGATATTATATGCTTTGCCTGCCGTCAATCCATGAAAAGCGACCGAAGGTCGATGGCCCAGTTCGGGTCGTTCGATAATTTTAACCGATTCGTAAGCATCGTCTGGAATGATCTTCACACTGTAATGATCAAAGATAGTTTCGGCTGGATTAGCAAGTTTCACAAGTAATGTTGTCTCATTACGAAACCAGATTTTTGGCTCTGGTAATGGAGCCGGATCGGTAGTAAAATTAGCCTGCAAATATTGGCGTGAATCTTCATTACGATATACAGTATACAAACGAATTTGATATGAAGCTCCGGGTGTTAAATCACGTATCGGTACAGGTGTTGCATCTTGTAAGCCAACAACAATTGTTCGAATACCACTATCATCTTGTACGGATAATGGTTCGATAATTATTTTGAATGAATGAAAACGTCCTTCGATTGGTGGATTCCAATCAAGCAATACTAATTTACCACTTTGTACTTGAACCGATAGATCACGCGGTGGATGAATAGCTATAGAAATTAAAAATCAAAAAAAAAAAAATAAGTAAGTAAATAGTTTTTATTTAAATAAATAAATCAAATGTTACAATAAGTGAACGCCTATTTTGTCATCATAATAATTTGTATTCATTTTTCATTTAACTTGTCATCGTTACGGAAAAAATGGAAATAAAAAATATGTTACAATTGAAACCATCGATTTCAATCCAAAAATGAAAGCAGCATAACATTTTTCTTTAAACATAAACTGATTATCACTATTGACAGCAAACATTTTGTTGCTTAGTATAATAAATTTACGAATGATTTTAACTATAAAATAAATTGATCTGAGATGCCAACTAATCATTTGAAAAAATAATAATAATCATCATCATGTATCCAAACTTAGAATCGTATGTTTATAATCCATCCAATTTTAATGTAATTTACAATCCGGTAAGATTCATTAATAATTTATCTAATAAAATTCATAAAATTAATTACTATTCAATATTATAGGCTATGCCGGTTTGTTGTTCGCTTGTTGGTGAAAAACGACAATTAGAACCGGGTTTGATGATTACAGTATTGGGTCGTTGTCATCCGTATATTGAACAAGGAAGTACACAAAGTTTTCGTGTAGATTTTTTCAATGGTGAATGTGAACATTATGGTGGTGGTGCTGAAAATATAGCGTTTCATTTTAATCCTCGTTTCGAAAACAGATCAGGTATGATCATAATGAATTCTTGTGAATATGGTCAATGGGGTCAAGAAATACGTCCATTCGAAAGACCATTTCCGTTTCGATCTGGTGGCAATTTTCGTCTTACTTTCAAAGTAGAAACCGAACATTTTGAAGTGCAAATAGATGGTCAGCATCTATGTCAGTTTCGACATCGTTATAACTTTTACAATATTCGACGTATGCACATTAGCGGTCGATTGGATATCGATCAAATCAAGTTTGAAATGGTCGGTGGTGGTATGCCACGATACATTATGGGGCCTCAATTGCCTTATTACGAGTATTTGCCGCAGCTTAGCGAAAGACCGCATGACATTGCAATGGTGGGAACAGTACGCTATCCGTTTGTCGAATATTTTGCCATCAACTTAGCCAGTAGCGAGCAAGGTCGTTTTAGATGCGAATCAGAATTCAATAACATTCCAATTCATGTAAGCATACGTGCACAACAAGGCCAAATTGTTCGTAATACTAAAAACTATGGAAATTGGGGCCAAGAAGAGACCGATTTAAATGGACCGTTTGAATTTCAACCAGGACAACGATTCTTTTTAATGCTTTCAATTCGACCAGATTGTTTTAGTGTACAGATTAATGGTAGATTTGGATTTGCATATCGTCATCGATTGTCATGGCAATCGATTGATTCACTTCAAATTTATGGAAGTGTTGATTTAAGTGAAATCCGTATTCAACCAGTTTAATTTAATCAGTCTGGTTTTTTTACAAAAAAAATCATTCTATCAATAAATCATTTGTTATCGAATTGCAATAAATAATAAATTTTTTAAAAAGAATCCGCCTATTGAGACAAACATCAACAACAACCAAAAAAAAAAGTTTTATAGATTTTGTTAAAGTTAGATAATGTATCACCATAGTTGATTATCATAAACATGATAATCATTTTAATCGAGTGATGCTGATCAAGTAATATAAGTCATTTCATTGTCTCTGTGTGATTACTGTTGTATCCAAAATGCATCGTTTTATACAAAATCCGGTATGTAAATAATGATAATTCAAAGGAGTTCATTATCTAATTTAACGGGTAATAGGCTTTACCGGCTTGTCTTGCCATAACAAATGATGAACTATTACCAGGTAGTAAAATAGTGATCAATGGTCAATGTAGAATGGATGTACATCGTGGTGATGTAGATTCATTTCGTATCGATTTGTTTGATGGCCAATGTGAACATTTGGGTTATTCAAAAAACATTGCATTTCATTTTAATCCAAGATTTCGAGGTCCGAATCATGGTTCGATAGCAATGAATTCCTATCGTCAAGGTAACTGGGAACATCACATAGAAAATGAATATCAATTTCCATTTAGAGCTGGACAAAGATTTACCATTGAATTACAATGTCAATCGGATCAATTTCAGATCAAAGTAGACGGAAGCTATATATATCAATTCAAACATCGTTATGACTATAGAAGAATTGGTAAACTATAATCCTATACACATAATCAATAATTAAATTGGTAACTTTTTTTGTTTGTTTGTTTGTTTGTTAAGGTCGTATGCACATTGATGGCCGATTAACAATTGATTCGATTCGATTTGAAACTATAAGATCACAACCACAATGGCCAGTTTATCCACCAACACCAAGAAGTGTCATGTGTCCTACTATTCCTTATTTTGATTATGATATACGTCTTTCACAACAACCAGTAGAGGTGTTTCTTGCCGGTAAAATCGATACATTTCCCAGAGAGTATATACAAATCAATTTGGTCAACAGTGAACGTAATCGATATTGGAACGGTAATGGAATAGTAAATATTCCAGTACATTTTAGTATACGTCCATTTCAACGAGAAATTGTTAGAAATACACTTACGGCAGGCATATGGGGAGCAGAAGAGAAACATCTCTACTCTGGATATAGTCTAAATCCAGGTTGTCGTTTTGATATGATGATCCGAGTGGATCGTCATCAAGTTAGTGTAGCTATTAATGGTCAATCAGCATTCGAATATCGACATCGGCATTCACCGAATTCGATTGATGCTTTGCAAGTAACTGGCAGTATCTATTTGGAACATATTCGTTTTCAAAACTATTCCTAACTGTTTTAATGTTGATTAAATGATTTCAATTGGCCTAAAATTGAGCATGCAATAAATCTAAATACAATAAATTCTTACCTGAATGGACAATCGTAATGATATGTAATAATAATATTGTTAAAATTGTTAAAATAGAAAAAGGTGGCCATTTATGATTCGTGTTTGATAATGGTATCCGTCTTCGTGTACGAGTACGATGATCCAATAAATATTGTCGTAATGTTGAGCGGTGGTAATTTTTATCACGTGATTGATTTAGGATGTAATCAACATCCTTATTATCGATCACAATTAGCTCCATAAATTGATAGTAGTCATATGGTTGTTATATTCAGTTATATTGTTGATATTAATGATTCAAAAACCAAATTGAAACGGTAACATAATTCTGTTGAACAAAACAAAAATAAAAAATGAAAATCATTAACAGTGTGATTCAAGTTGCAGAAAAAAAAAATCGAGAGTCCAATGATCCCAACAAAAAACCATGATATTGCAGACTTGTCAAAACTAAAAACTCATTTATCTTATCATTGCACGTGTATGAATCAAAATGAAACCAGCTGGTTCCAAAAAAAAAACTAACGGTTATCATAGTTGCCTACGGGTGTGTCTGGTTGCTGAAGCAATTACACAACATTACTGCAGTAATTGGAACAGAAAACTTTCGAATGAATCCAAAAAAAAAGATTCGATTATGGCATGCGTATCACCAGGTAAATAAAAATAAAATTGGTTGTTTGTGAAAATGGATCAAAGTTTCGATTCATTAATTCATGCTTACCTGGATGATGATGATGATGATAATTTGTTATGGTGTTTGAATTTTGCTAGATGAACTAACAAACAAATAAATGAAAAACAAACAACGTAGCAAGGTAATGAAATTGGAAACTTTGACAATCCCTTTATCTGTGATAATGATAATGATGATGGACAAAATCAAAAATATTTGATGGTCATTATAGTAGTCTGGATAGTCGTGTGAATCGATATTTTTTTTCTTTTTTGAAAATCAAGTTGGTTGAATTTTAAATGTGATAAAAAGTGATATAACGAATGTCAAATGTCAAGTTTTTTGGAAGCCAAACTATCTTGATTCAAAGTTGATGATGTTTAGTGTTTAGTTTTTTATTGCTACAAAGGCCAAATACAAACGAGAATGGAGAAACAAGAAAAAAAAATACTCATTGAATCGACGTATATTACGTTTGATGAGCTCGCTTGACAAGTATATTTTTGCGTGTGTTGCGTGTGTGTGTATCTGTGAATGTGGCTATGGCATACAGAGTTGGCCAGCCCGATTTCAACAACAAAAAAAAAACATTATTAATACGAAGAAGCTGAGAATGGCGTATATATCTTTTTTTTATTATTCAAGACAATTAAGATTAAGTAGTGGTGGCCAAAATCACCTTTCGGTAACCACTACGACATTGATTCATTCGTTCTTGGCCATTGTTGTTTGATGAATGCAACAAGTGTGTTATTCTTGAAGATTTTTCTTCAGTTTTGCTTGTCGACCTTTGATCTTTTTTTTTTGTTTTGTTTTTGAAATAAATGAATTTATACGATTCTTTTTTTTTTTTACTCCCTCCTCATATAACAGGTGTACATCGGAGTTTTAAAAAAAAATCGGCGACATTGTTTGGTTGTAATGTCTTTTTTTTTGAAAAAAATAAGTTTTGTCGTTAAGGGTTAGTTGTTGTTTTGATGATTCATACCTGTTCTACAGATTGAATCGAAGATTCGTTTTTTTTCAGTTTAGTTTAGTTTGATGACCTATAGATAATAATTTTCTTTTGAAAATTTTTTAATTTTATAGAAATATCCAATTCAAATCATTCAATCATTGTCTACTATTCTGTTTGTTTGTTTCCTTTCATTTCATTGAAAAAATATTATTGAAAATTTGGTAAATCTTTTTGGAAATGGAAAGAATCCATTTTTCGAATATCATAGCCATTTTTTTTTGAAAAAAATTCGAGACTCATAATTACAGGATATGACGATAGATGTCAGATAATGTTATGGAGTATTGAATCCTTTGATAATTTATGATGTGGAGAGATGATGATAATAATAAATAGAAATGCGTCGTTATGGTGTTTAAAAATCCAATGTAAAAAAAACAAATGACTCATACAATTTGCTCGATAAATTTCGAGCAACAAGTGACATGCAAAGTATATTACAAGATATTTGTACCAATCGGGTTAAACCCTTGGTAAATGTCAACAATCATAATGATGATGAATCGGATTCTATGGACGAATGGGTTGCCTACAAAGAAAATCTATTTATTTCTTCATCTACATCTGTTTCGCAACAACATCAACATCAACAATTCAATGGCAAAAGACGAAAAAGAAAACCGTTATTGATGATGGATTTGAAAGAAAATCAATTTCTTGTCGGTTATAACCGGATGGAAAATATGATTGCCATTACATTAGTCGAACAGAGTAGACGATCTACTGATGATCGATCTAATTGTCTGGCTACTTGTGTTCAGTATGTTTGTACTCTCATTTTAGCTATTTAGCTTATTTGGTTCTTTTTTCTTTTCTGTTTTATGTATAGGGTAAACGATTTAATCGAACTAAACCGTGATCTATGTTTATTATCTTCATCTGTCCAAGAAATACAAAATCATTTCGAACCGGTACGTCAGTTATTGGAACAATTTTCACTAGGAACTAATACTACTTTCTACTATATACGATATCTGTTTGGGTAATATTTCTCTTGCCTTTGTATTCTGGCTATTTGAACTAATAGATAGTTTTTTATTCGTAAAAGATGGACAGCATCACAAGAGGATATAATTCGACTCGAATCTGCAATACGAAATTATCTTCATTGGGTGGCTGATCATTGCGGTCTTGATCTATTACGTTTGCTACTGTTCGATCGGCAACAACTTGAAGATTGTGAAGAAAACGTTCAACAATTGCGATTACAAAGTTACGAAATGCCGGTCGAAAAAGCATTACAAGAATTAAATGACGTTGTTGCAATGCGCAAACGAGCAGCCAATCTATTATCTATCAGTGAATTGTATAAAATAGAAGATCAGATTGTTGATCAGGTTTTTGAAGCATTAGGCGAATTATATTTTAATCAACTTCGACCTTTTCTTCGTATGCGAGAACTTTCTTTACAACGCATTGATCAACTCGATTCGATTATCGAATGCAAGCATTTTGGACCAAAAATCAAACGACAAGCTGAAATGGATCATAATGAACATCGAGAATATCTGCTATCTGCAACCAGTGCTATACAGCAGCTATATGTAGATTATTATGGTCGCATGGTTGGTATTCTTGCTGGTCAAGTTGCTAGAGCTGTAGCAGACCAAAAACGATATGGCCGCAATGCCATCGAACGCACTGGTGCCAACAATCGTTTAGATCGATTACGCCGTCAGGTGTGCTTAAAACGAATTGAACATCTTAACTGCCGCAAATCGATATTGGAAACAAGCGGTTCTGATAAGCAACAATTATTTCAATTACGTCTAGAGATTCTAGTCGAGCGCCAATCTTCACTGCGACTAGATTTGGCTCAACTTCTCGCCAAAGGCCAGTCATCAAATTTTGATGCAATCGATTTCTACGATGCAGTAGAATCACCTGAACATTTCGATGTGATCGACAAACAATTGTCAGCCCAAAGTGAAATGGTTCGAACTGAAATCGGTCGAATTAAAGAAAAAATGGCTCGTAATGCTCAACAACAAGCTCGACTTCGTTTGGAACTAGCTAAACTACAAATCAAGTCTAACGATCAACTTAATCAGCCTTTATCATCATCTCGTGACGATAAAACTAAACTTAAGCGATTTCGTCGTGAAACACTTATTCGTCTGAAACGATTTCGTGTGAAACAAATGCTTTACGAGCAACAACATGACAAACAATCTGATTCAGAAGAAGAATTCCAGGACTGTATTGACGACACTGTGCAATCAATGACTAAATCAATTGAGCCAACAAGCAATTTAAACCGACAAACTGAACCAATCCCAATTCAAAAAGCACCAACGATCGTTCCATCAATTGATGTTCCTATTTCTGCCATTCCTCCGCCTCCGCCACCACCACCTCCTCCATTGTTCGATTTGAGCATCAAACCTGTAGTTTTACACAAGTCTCCTTCACGATCGTCAGCCAAACCACAGAATTCAAATGCACCAGCCACAATTAGTCTTGATGAAATTTTAAAGATGCGACAAAAACTTCGTCCTGCTCAAGATAGTGCCAGTTCACCTTCTAATAAAGATCGAGCTACAAGTTGTAATCATTTCGAGAATTTATTAAAATCGACTTTAAGACAGATTCGAACGGTAGTTGAAGATGATAGTATATCTGATCAAGATTCTGATGACAATTCATTCAACGATTAATAATAAAAATTGGTTTCAACTTATTACATCATTATTTCATCATCAACCTTGATGTTTTAGTTGGCGCCAAAACGATTCGAATGTTGGCCATGCGTTTCGCTTGCAGCGCACTCTATAACCAACAACAATTATCCACAGCGGCGGGAGGATTGACACTTGCCTAAATATATTTTCCTCGTGATTTTCTCTCGTGATACATGCTACTACTATATGGAATGTTTTTGTTCTACCGTTACCAACCACCATACATTGAAGAAAAAAAAACTAAACATTAATGATGCCGCTACTACAAATGAGTCATTTTGCTTATTTGTTTGCTGTTTGCAGTTGTTGGTGATGATGAAAATTACGTTGGCCATCGATTATTGAGTCAGTGTTGCATTGTTATGCTTATGTTTATCTTCTTGTTTGCATCTTCTGTCCCTTGACCGAATAATAACCGTCGTTACAATTATAATATCCAAAGAAATTGAAATTTTCATTTCATAATACTTTTATTTGATCATTTTTGTCATCAAGTATTCAACAACTGTTGTTTGATTTTTGATTATTATTAAAATAATAAACATCTTTAGAAAATTAATTTGTGGTCAATTTGAATTCATTTTAATTAAAAGGTATGTACTCATTATATGACAATAAATTCTTGTCATAACTATTTATCAACAATTGAATCGCATCAATATTTTTATTAATTTTCCTATCCATTAATATTTATCAGTGTTTGTATTCATTTTATATCAACATTAGTGGTTAAAATTAGGTGATTTGTTTTAGTTGTTATCATACTTTATTTTCATATTGCATCATCGAATGTTGATGCATTATAAAGTTTTAAGCTTTCACTGATGTCGTCATATATACCTAGTCAGATTCTTTAATCCTTTTCTATCAGATTTAGATTAAGAATTTTTATCCGGTTATCCCTGTGATTACGAAAGGCGCGATATCATCCTTAATGAATTTCGCAATGACGTGAGGCGAAATCTAAAAGGCGGCCATCTTGGCAATTCGATCACCAAGCCATTCACAGTGTTAACAATGATGATGAGATGTGTTCGTCGATAGGTCGGTTGGATTTTTGTTTTGCAACCATAATGATAATGATACAATAATGCCACCTGGTGTTTAACGAAATGAACGATCAAGAATGGGAGGAGAAGTAGGAGTAGATGATGATGATCATTACGGATTTCCCGTACTTCCACTACGGCATCGATGGCTATGTGTGTAGTTTGTGTGAGACAGGCAGATGTATGAATTTCATAAAGAATGTTGTCATCGATCCATTCGAATCAGCCAACACACTATCATTCAATTCTATTTGAGATACCCAAGAAAAAACCAGGTACTTGAATACCATGACCAACATTGATTCTGATTCTATATACAAATATAGACCAGAATTTTGGGCCCTTATTGAATCGAGATTAATGAATAGTGCATACCATTGATGAGCGCGCCTAATTTGTCTTGTTCGTATTCGAAATAACTTTTACTTATATACCACTACTTTTTTTTTCTCACTTGTCGATCGATTAATCGAACGATAATTTTTCCCCTTTGATCTAATCGAATTGACCCTGGTCACTTGACCATTTAGAATTGTCAATGCATTCTTGTTAGTTGAGGTCATCTTTTTCCGTTTGGATTCTTTATGAAATATCCCGTGACAATGGGACATTTGACTTTTGTTCTTTATGTCCATCACATCATCATGTCCCATGTAGTTGTTGTCTTTCATATTTTTATGCTGCTAGCTCGTTAACTTTTGAGTTTGCTGCTCACTTTTTGTTTTGATTGGGCTAGATTATATTGCTCGCGAGCCTAACCTCATTGTTTGTTATTGTTGTTATTTACTGTTGTCGTGTCGCTTTCGATCTTTGAACCCATAAAGAATTGTTTGTTTTGACCACTAAATTGATCTAATATCTCAGTATTAATCATTCCTAAGGTAAAAGTTAAATATTACAATAACTTTTTTTTTGTTCTTGATTAATTGAATTTTAATCATTAATCGTCCAAGATGGCGTTGTATTTTTGGGCGCCATTGATTTAATTGTTGTGTTTAGTATTTAAGCAAATTGAACTAATGTTTTTTTCTTATTGTTTTTTCAGACTTTAGAATATTATGGCTCGTACCAAGCAAACTGCTCGTAAATCTACTGGTGGTAAGGCACCGCGTAAACAATTGGCAACTAAAGCTGCCCGAAAATCGGCCCCATCGACCGGAGGTGTTAAAAAACCCCATCGTTATCGTCCGGGTACGGTCGCTTTGCGTGAAATCCGTCGATACCAAAAATCTACCGAGTTGCTCATCCGCAAACTCCCATTCCAACGTTTGGTTCGTGAAATCGCCCAAGATTTCAAAACTGATTTGCGTTTCCAAAGTGCAGCCATTGGAGCATTGCAAGTATGTAGTAAGACGATGGCGCCGTCTTTAACCATTCGCCTTGAATGGATGTTGGTAATTGTAATTCTAATCTCACGATTTCGTCTTATTAGGAAGCTTCGGAAGCTTATTTGGTCGGTCTGTTCGAAGACACCAACTTGTGCGCTATCCATGCAAAACGAGTGACGATTATGCCGAAGGATATTCAATTGGCCCGTCGAATCCGTGGTGAACGTGCTTAGTGTGGACAAGCAAACGAGGACTAGGCTTAGTGAATACATCTACCATAACGACCATTACTGCTATAATCATTATCATAATAAAACACATTTTCACATCATACACATACACACACCCTAGCTCTTCATTCTGTTCGACTTAACTAAATTGTCTTGTGTCTGATTTGTCCAGGCCCTTGATAGTTTGACCATCCAAAGTAAACTTTCGTGCATTGTGTTTTGTTATTACACTCAATACCATAATGTCACACTATACACACGTTGACAGACAAGCATTTTTATAATCACTACTTTATTGATAACCACCAAGTTCTCATACCGATCGATGTTCGACCTGCAATGACAGATAGGTAAAAAAAGCTTGAGTGTGAAAGATTGTCGTCATCGATTAAACCATTTATTCAATCAAAATTGTTTATTGTTACAAATGATTAGTTCTCGTTAATTGAATTTTTATTTCGGTGTTTGATTCGTTTGTGTTTCCGGTGATGATGTTTATTGTGATGTGTTGTCATGGACATGATTGTTGTCATGTCCAAATCAGATGGCACTTGGTAGGCCAGGTAGGAAGGAGGATGATTGCCTAAGCCGTTGATTGCATCGAATTTGCTGAATGCAGCCAAGTGGTAAAGGAGGTATTCGATAAAATACATTGTAACTGAGGAAAATCCGGTAAATGTGATGGCACGATTACTGCAGCAACCGAATCCACCGGTTACAGGTAAAAGGTTCGACATCCAAAATGTATCGAATACGGATATAAGTTGTGGGTTAAGATGCCGTTCTGGCATGAATGGATGGAATCGAGTGCCACCGCTCTGTCTTATATCGTTTGAGTCGTCGTAAGTATTCTCGGGACGAACACCATTTCTAGCAAGAAACATGCCCATATACGAGTCGAACTGACCTCCATAAATGAGACCATTTGTGGACAAATCGATACAGGTCGTGCGGTTGCCCACGAACAGATTGTTGGCTAATAGATCGACTGAACCACGGCTTAGTACTATTCCTGATTCAAATGAATTGTAAACACCTAAGAAGTAATGTTGTACTGGACGGCCAATGTAGAATCGATTTCGGGAATCTAATGGTGCGACAAGATGCCTAAGATTTTCAACAATGGCGAATGTTTGATCGGTAGTAATTAGTAACCAGTCATAATCATGTTTAATTCGGGTCATTAAATCTATGAACGCTAGGCAGAATGTACGTGGAGATAACAATGAGTCGTCCAAAAACTTTAGCTTGACATACGGCTCTTTTTTTTCGTGAAATCCTCCGTAAAAATGACGTTCGTTGCAATGTCTAGTCCAGGTTTGATTTACAGCTCGAATTCGACTGCGTGTAGTTGCCAACACTAAACATAAGATTCGTGTTCGATTGGCCAACCATTCTGATTCAAGCATCAGCGATGAACGATTTATTCCATAACTAATCTGTTCATGAGGTATGCGCACAGATTCTAGTGACAACGATGCAAGCCATTTATCATAATTAACTGATGTCTGCTGTAAATGATCATCCAATTTGGATCGCCAATTATCGTTGCTAATTCCGAGACGATTAGCCATAGATAATGGGGAATGCATCGATGTAAATCGAATAACAGTTTGTTCATAGTTAAGCCAAACGACAGCAAATAAAACACCAGACATGACCGAGCAAAGTATGAGAAACGCTTTCCATACTCGCATCGCCAATTTCGAACAATTCGTCGCTTTTCGGCCTAGCGACATTGCCATCAACCACTTGTTGCTGCCAGAGTTGTTATTGTCTTTTTCAAGTACACTGTGATGACAAATTAAAAGCTATAAATACATCTATATAATAAACACATTATTTCAATCTTACCAATATGGCCGAAAAAAAAGGATCGAAAGATTTTCGATTGAAAAACAAAACTTGCCACAACAGCGGTTGATGGTCAAACAAAGAAACCCATAATGTGAACATCAAATATTCATCCGTAGATGGCGCTTGGAAATAAATTCAAAAACTTGTATATTCGAATATATAATCTATTTATTTGACAAAAAAATCATTCGATATTTTCTGTTTCAGAATCGATCACCTATATCTATCTGATTTTAATCTAAAAACTGTTTTGGTCAACATATCAAGCAGATGGACATTAATGTCCATTTCATTCATTCATTCAATTCAGATAGTTTGATGTACTGAAGCGATTAAAATGGTTTATTTTTAGATTAACTTTCCAACAAATAACAATAGCAACGAGTTTCAAATTCGAATGAATGCATGAATAAATGAACGAAACAATGAGATTTTATTTCTTCAATATAACAATACAACAATAATAATGAGATGGATAAATTCACTTACGATCAATGTGATAGGGCACACCTATTTGATGCCTTTTATCATTGTCGTTGTGTGTTTTGATGAGAATTGCGAGTTTTAATCCAACCAAAAAAAAACCGACTTCATCGGATTTTAGAAGGCAAAAAAAAATCACTCGATTTTTGATGCCCGATCACTGATGATGATCAAGTAACGAATCGAGAGCAATAAAGGGAAAGGAGATGATTTATTTTATTTTTTTTTGTGCGCGTACATGATAATGATGATGATGATGAAGATGATGATGATGCTATTTAATATAGCGTGACTGGACTGGGTTGAGTGAAAGGCTTGATCGATTGAAAACAGTTTAGGCACGGGATTTGTAAGCGTTGATGGTGCTCATACCACTGGATCGACTATTGCCACCTTCAAGAATTCGAATCGATGATCCACCTGTCGATTGTGAAACTGGTGAACTTTTGGTTCCGCTAGTTGATGATGAAGAAGAGCCGCTTGATGGAGAGGATGCTTGTGCAAATGAAACGCCGGATAAACCATCATTGAAGTAAGACACTGAACCTGATGATGGGCTTGATGAGCTGCCTGATAATTTACTTGATGAAGAAGAAGCTCGTGTAATTGAACTGGTTGGTTGATTCGAAGCAGCTGCAGCATATTGGCCACTTAAACCACCTTTGAGTCCACTGCCTAAACCAGAACCATAATCACTAGATTGCATATTGCCACGTGGTTCACCTTTGGCAATGATGGTCTGAATTTCTTCTTGGACTGGTTTAATTTCCTGAATAACTCTTCGATATGGTGTAATGATTTCACGAACTTCTTGGATAACTGGCTTAGTAACTTCGTGTACTAATCGATGCGGTTCATCTTCAGATGTGGTGTGTTGAGCTTCACCTGCAAGACCTGGCTGATGAGTTTGTACGACGTTCAAAGCGCTGGATGCTGATTTAAAATGGATGGTAAGTGGTAAATTACCAGCTTCAACTTCAACAATTTGTGGTTGAGGTAATTCCATTGGTACATTGACGTGACGGATTTCAACTGTATGTGAAGATTGTACAGCTGCTGTAACAGGGCCACCACCAAAACCTGATACTGGTTGTACGGAACCGCCACCGCTTCCTCCAGAACCGTAAGAGCCACCACCGCCACCACCAAGAAGACTACCACCAAAGCTAGATCCGCCACTTCCGCCGTATCCACCAGCGTGGCAAGTGCTAGCCAACAAAAGGCATACTGATATAATTGACTGAATGGAAAACAAATAAAACAGACCCAAAACATTAAGAATAACCAGATAGAATATATAAACTCAATTACCTGAATCATTGTTGAATGAGTTATTTGATGATTTTTTTTTCTTGAACGATGAACGATGTGATCTGTTTGAATGTTTCAAATGATGTTTGAAAGGATTACGGTTTGACTATGGCTATTTATACGATTGGTACAACAATCTGACGATACAACGGTCTGGTTAGTTAGTCAGTCAGTCAGTTTTGTTTAGTATCCTCTTATCCGCAAATCATTATCCAAAAGGATCGACCGTTCTCTCAACAATTCAATCCAATCCAAATAATGCCAGTCCCACTTTCTCTTTACCTGTCTATTTCGGGCAAACATGCCAGATCCATATCGGACAGGTTTCCCTTTCATTCATTCATTCATTCACTATTCATCGAATTGATTGACTTTAAACAAGCCAACATTTAAAACTTCGACATAAGTAAGTACATCAACAATAACAACAACAAAAACCCCACCGACCAGTGCCAAAAGCCGGATAACTTTATTACAATTAATTATTTAGTACTTATTTGTTATCGTTTCTCATTAATTATCGACATGTTTCTTTTTTAAAATCAAATTAATCGAATGTTTCCTGTATCATCATCATTTTGTTTGTTTTTTTTCTGCTTTACATTTGATCACGAACAAGGAATCAAGGAATCTTTCAATTGATTCAATTACTGAAGACCCTTGTTTTTTAAAAAAAAGAGTTACTGAGTATTTTGTTCCGCATATGACCGTTGATCTCGAGATGATGAGTCTTAAATGATTGAAATTTAAAAAAAAAATTAGCAATATAAATGCCATTTTGATAAGGATCGCAAAAACCATCACACACACACAAAATCCATTTTACAGATTTTATTTTTCATTTGATAAAGTTGTTTAATCAACGAGGAAATGGTTTCATCAATGTTTTTTTTTCAAAACAAAAAATTTCAGATGATGATGATGATCTTATTGAATTGATGTGAAATTTGAAAATTTTGCCTTAAGCAATTGATTGTATGGTTCGAATGTCATATTAGCTGGTCAACAACAACAACAACAACAACAAATAACCATTTTTTACTGGCTGGCTGGCTAGTTGGTTGATGGTCATTATTGGTTGTTGTTTTCATTTTTTTTTATATGCCAAGGCAAATCCAAATATTTAAATCCTATTCAAATTTGATGCTTCTGGCAAAAATATATCGGTTGCAATTTATTATGCTTTTGGTAAATGATGCAAATGAGAAGAGATCCCATTGTTCTCCCAAAACGAATGAATTAAATGGATATGTATCAAATCTAAGCCAAATACGATCATAATCATCATCATCATCATCATCATGATGGACATCGACAGAAAACCACATTATCATAACACATAAAATGTGCTAACGCCACTAATTTGTGTTCATCAAGCAAAGCAAAGCCATGCAACAACAACAACAGTCGGGCTAGTTTGGATTCGTTTCCTGGTTCCGGATCATCATCATCATCATCGTGCCTTGTATTTTGTTTTATAAAATCTACCCGTCATAAATGATGATGATGATAATGTGGTGGTGAATGATGCTGTCGTGTTTGATTTTCTTTTTGTTTTTTTCGTTCATTTTCCAATTGAATATACACCTTGTTTTTTTGTTTGTTGTTGACTTGTTTCATCATAAACTTCATGGCTTGAAAGAAGAAGAAGAAGAAGAAAATACCGATTCTTTTTTTTTTTCTTTACATATAAAAATATGATTTTCTTGTTGCAATCAACCATTTGTTGTTGTTGTTGTTTTTTTTGGGACCACATTTGCAATGCAGATTTGTTATTTTGATAAAAATAGCCTTCCTGTCTTTTTCTGTTTTTTTTGTTATCATAAACGTCATGATCATTGGATCAGCTGGACAAGTGAGACAAACAACAAACAACAAAAACAACAACAAAAAATTAAGGAATTATGGATTTGAAAATCAAACGAGAAAAAAATGGATTTTTATTGAAATTTGCTTTTTAAAAAAAATTCTAATAATCATACATATTGATCATATTTTGATCAATTTGTTCAATAATATTAATATTTGAATGACAGAAAATTTTGATTATATTAAATAAACAAATAGCAAATAATTGATGAATGCCAGTTATCAATATTGTTGTAATCAATATTAAATATTTTGGATAAATCATTGGATTTATTGTTTGCACGGTATTTCCATCATTAAACGTTGATAATGATGAACGTTTTGACCATAATGATGAAATGGTTAAAATTGAATCCATTTGGCTGGAAATTGTCCAAAAAATTAGCAATATATTTTGTATTGATGATAACATAATGTTTTTTTGTTGAAAATGATATGACATTAATAGTGACTGAAAAATGAATTTCTATACGGTCGAGACCATAGGTTTATATGTAAAAATCGGAGAAGCTTATCGAAAACCTTGTATATTCAAATGGGCAGTGGTCAAAATGGTGTGTGTGTGTGGTGTGGTGTGCAGGTCATTTTTAACCCATTTGTAACTCCTATCAACCAATCAAACAATCGAATCAATGATAAGATAGTGATATCTTTGTTGATAATAATTTAAAAAATGATAACATTTCCTGATAACATTACCTCGAAAATGATCGATACTTGTTCAAGTTAGCCAGAAAATGATCGTGGCCGATATTTATAACCGATATACGATAAACACAAACACACCGGTAGATGGTACACTGCCAATGTGTGTAATTTAGTTTGTTTTTTAGTTTTTTTTGGTTATTTTGAGATCATCATCAATAAGATGATGATGATGATTAGCTTTGATTGTTTGTTACATCTTGTAAAATCATTCATTCAATGTTGATCCCCCCCCAAAAAATACTAAGTTTTTGAAAAAAATGAAGATTAATGCCGATAGAAGGAAACATTTGAACAAAATGACAAGTCAAAAATAAACCAATCAATCAATCGGATTGACCTGTTATTTATGGATCAGACAATTAAATGATGGTGTTTTCAAATCTTTATTGATCCATCATTTATCGATAAATGTATTCTTCTCCACCCAAACTGATTTATAATGGATGAATGTTTGTTTGTTTGTTTATAAGAAAACCCAAAAAGCCTCATCAATTCAATTCATCAGATCTGTTATTTTCATTCTATACCTAGATTGTAGCATCATCTATGTGTAACGATTGGAACAATTTGAGGATTTCTTTTTTTCAAAAAACATCTTTTTTTCCCACATATATACAACAGCAGACAGCAGTTGATAATGTGAAAAATCATTCAAAGCTTGGATTTTCTTTTTGGTTGAAAATAATGAGATAGTATAGAGTAAAGTAGAGAAAACAAAAATGGGCGCGTTGATTAAATGAAACGAAACGAATGATGAACGTTGATTATCATCATTATGATGATGATGATAATAATGATGATAATGGTCATTAAAGAATATATTTTTTTTTATTTTTGCAGCAGCCAGACAGGCAAGCTGTCATCCATTTGTATGTAGAATGGATCAAACATTCCATCATGTGACATTCAATGAATGAATGAATGAATGAATGAAGGGGCATTTTTTTACAATCTACCATCAAGGTTGGCAAGAATCCTTAGTATTAAAAAAAAATTGATAACAGCAACCAAAATCATCATCATCATCATTTTTGAAGCAATGATGATGATGATGATGACTTGAAACAATCATCATCATCAATTTGATCATCTATTTGGCCTGTATGTTGATTTCGTTCGTTCGTTCGTTGTTTTTTGTTGCTGTTTTTTTTTGTTGTTCATAGTCATTTTCTTCATCATGATCATCATCATTATCATCATCGGTTGTTTAATAATGATGATGATCATCATCATCATCATCATTAAGTTTGCCCCCAACAAAAAAAAAAAAATGAATTGAAACGAAACCCTCTCTCTTCCCCCCCAAAAAAATCCTCATCATCCATTACAAACAAGCAAACGAATCAAAATGACTCTGATCAACATGATGATGAACATCATGAATGGAACAAACATACAACATACACATCTAACATCTATATCGTCATTTTATTTTCAAAAAAAAACAACATAGACAATGAACCAAACGACAGATATTTTAGATCCATTGTCAATGTGAGATTTGCCTTTTTATTATTTCATTTTTTTTCTTGCCTCATCACACCAGACTTGGACGGTTCATAATCATCATCATCATCATTGGCCAATATAGATTCGACTATTATAATAGCAATTGAAATGATGATGATGATGATGGTGATTACGGCCGCCGATCATCATGATGATGATGATGACGATGATTATGTTGATGATGATGATCGTCATCACCGCCATCATCATCATCATCATCATAATCATCATCATCATCATCATAATAATGATTACCCAAAAAAAAACCCACGATCATACTGTATAGCTGCCTGTTTTCATTATACAACGATGATGATGATGACGACCACCACAAAACAAAATGGGCTTTCGTTTCTTTCAAACTTTCTATATGGTTGTTCTGGTTCGTAGCTATTCTCTCTCATTCGTTGATAGAGTTTGGTCAAGTCCCGAGCGCACCATACATCGACAACAAAAAAAAAAAAAAAAAAAAAAAAAAAAAAAAACCGATTGAAAAAAAAAAAAAAAATTTAATGATGATGATGAGGGCCGGGGAGGGGTTCTTTTCCTTTG